GGAAGACACAGAGAGGTGCACAAGAGGTATCAGATAGCAAAGATGAACACTTTTACATATTCAATACTGCATTATCAGTAACAACAAACATTAATCTATGGGTAGACACATAGGTAGACATATACATAGGTAGAATATACACATGCCCATATATAAGGTTGGCAGATGATATTTCTACATACGTATTTGTATGTGTTGTAAGAACATCCATATAAGTAGAGCTAATGGGACAAAGTTATGATAACTTATTTTTGTTGTTGTTGTTGTTATGTGCCATCGAGTCGGACCTGACTCATGGCGACCCCTCCTTGGGTTTCCCAGGCAGTATCACTACAGAAGTAGATTGCCCCATCTTCCTTCTGAGGAGTGGCTGGTGGGTTTGAACTGCCAGCCTTCTGGTTAGCAGTTAAGTGCCTTAGCCACTATGCTACCAGAGCTCCCTTGATAACTTATTAGCCACAGTCAACCACCCAGATGGAGCAAGTTGTTGGACCTGTGGGCTCAGGACCATGGTTGTGGGGGACATCAAGCTCAATTGGCATAACATACTACACAAAAACATTGTTCTATGTCCTACATTGGTGAGTAGTGACTGAGGTCTTAAAAGTTTGCAAGCCACCATCTAGATGTAACAATTGGTCTCTCCTTATCTGGAGCAAAGAAGAATGAAGAAAACCAATGACACATGGAAAAAGTTAATCCAAGGGACTAGTGGACCATGTGAACCTCAGCCTGCATGACCATGAGACCAGAAGAACTAGATGGTGCCTGGCTACCACTGTCAACTAGTTGGAAAGGGATCAGTGCAGGGGATCCTTGACAGAGTAGCAGAAAAGTGTGGAACAAAACTCAAAAATCATAAAAAAGACCAGGTTACTGGTCTGATAGAGCCTGGTGAAACCCCCAAGACTATGGCCCCTAGTTACCCTCAGGCCTGGAATTGAACTTACTCCCATGGCTTTCAGCCAAACAATAGATGGGCATATAGGGTGAACATTTACACCAGGTAGATACACTCCTTAGAACAATCAATCATGAGAGATCAGAAGGGCAGTATTTGCACAAGAAGATAGCTCAGGGGCAGGAATGCGTAGGAAAGAAGGACATAGGGAAGAGATAACTACAGGGAGGAAGTGGGAAGAGAGCTGTTACATTGTGGGGATTGCAGTCAATGTCATGAAATAAAATACGGATGAACTGCTATATGGGAAATGAATTTGCTCTGTAAACTTTCACCCGAATCACAATAAAAATTATAAAAGAAAATGAATTAGTTAAGAATAAAGCACATTTTGTTTATATGATTACTCATGCCCATATATAAGGTTGGCCGATGATATTTCTACATTTGTATTTGTATGTGTTGTAAGAACTCCATATAAGTAGAACTAACAGGGGACAAAGTTATGATAACTTATTACCCACAGTCAACCACCCAGGGTTACAGGTGAGGAGAGACAACTAAGTGATGCCCAAAGTAGCCCGTGGGAAGAGCAGGAGAAAGGGAATTAAAAGCCAGGAAGCCTGAGAGAAGAGCAATCAGCCAAAGGGATTAGTTGAGGAGAGGAAATTCAGGCCCGCCCAAAGCAGCAGGACCGGAGAGCAGGAGAAAGGGGATAAAAGCCAGGAACTCAGACAGAGGAGCAGTCAGCCCCAGGGACAACTCAGGGACGCACAAAACAGCCGGGCAGAA